GGGAGCTTATGGTGAGCTTGTGGAATCGCTCCACAGAGCCTTTCACAGTTAACCCTGGTGACCGTATTGCCCAGATGGTAATCGTCCCTGTAGAGCGCCCTGAATTTGTTGTAGTAGATTCATTTGAGTCTACTGAACGTGGTGAAGGCGGTTTTAATTCAACAGGTACTAAATAATGACTGAACCAATGAGCAAATTCGAATTGGACAGACATAAGCATAATATTGCTGAGATGGATAAAGCGATTGCTGGTCATGAAGCTGAAGTAGCTCGACTACAAGAAGAGCGCCGTGAGTACATCAATCGCCATAACTTAAATAAAGTCGTCAGTAATAAATCTGCTTAAGCGCCTACGGCGCTATCTTTGGTTAGAGCCACCTTCGGGTGGCTTTAGTTTTTTAGGAGAACCAGATGACTAAAGAATCAGGTTCAAAACTGAGTGTAGAGTTAGGTGACAAGTATATTGTCACAGCTAATAGCTACTCGCTGATTTTGGTCGAACGTAAAAAGATTAAGAGTGGCGTTAAAGCGGGTCAGGACCAGTTAACTAACTGTGGTTACTTCCAAAACTTTAATGGCTTAGCCAAATTCTTAATCAACAAAGAGATTCGTGAAAGCGAACTCACCTCATTACAACAGATAGCTGAACGAGTGGATGAACTCGGAGAAGGTATCAGTAAGCTGTTAACTCAAATTCTCAATCAATCTGAAGGTAAAACAGATGGAAAAGACTGAAGTAGTACTGCCAAGCAAAGAAACCATCATGACTGTTCTGTCATGGTTACATAGCGAAGAGAAAGAGCCATACACTAATTGTGCTCGTGCTTTGACTGCTGCGTATGGTTCTAAGCTGGGCATGGAAGGTGGCATGAAGTTTATGGCTGAAATGGCTAAACAAACCATGTCTCCTGAAGCTGCTGAACGTGCCGCTGTAATCGAGCAGATTCAAAAGTACATGCTGGAAGATGGTCTGCCGGAACATATCGTTATGGTAGAGACCTCAAAAGCTGCGCTAATTATGGCTGCTTTCTACAAGCAATTTGGTAGTACTCCGCAGATTGTCCGGCAGGAATCTCAGTACACCATTGATGTTGGTTTACCGGGTATCTTCTTCTTAAACCCGGAAGCCTAACGCACTTCGTGCGTTGTATAGGAGTCATTTGGCTCCTTATTTTTCATCTGAAAGAGGTAAACAAAATGGGAGTTTTAGGATTTGGTAAAAAAGCTCGTAAAGTAGTAAATGAAGTTAAAAAGATGGAAAAGCGTGATGACGTAGAAGCTACCGTATGGGGCTGTATGGCTATCGCTTTTGCTGATGGTGATTGCAGTGCTGAAGAGTTAGCTACTCTTGAAAAAACTGTAGCTGCTAAGCCTGCATTTGCAGCATTCTCCGGTGAAATTGCTTCTATGACTGCTAATGCTAAACAGCAGTTTGAAGCTTCTCCTCGTTCTGGCAAAGCAGAAGCCATGCGTCAACTTAAAGACGTAGCCGGTACCGATGCTGCGGTAGATGTTCTGTGCCTTTGCTTAGATGTTGCCGATAAAGGTGGCATCGATGACAAAGAAGAAGCTGTGCTGAAAGACATTGCACAAGCTCTCGGCTTGAATCTTAACCAGTATCTGTAATGGCGCTGAAATTACGGGGAGTAATAGTCGCCGTACTATTATTTCTCGTGGTTACTATCGATTTTACTAGCAAAGTAATGTCGATACTTGCTGACGGCGTTTTAGTCATTGCTGTTATAGCAGTGATGTGGCCTATCTTTAAAGGAGCCAAAAATGGCTAAGCCAGAAATTGATTTAGAAAAGATTGATGCATTGCGTAATGCATTCAATGCAATGGTGGTATCTCACCAGCCGGTATCGGTAGGTGATATCGTCATTATCAACCCTGCAAATGAAGGGTTCTTCCGTTTTCCGACAGTTGACCGTCCGGGTATTATTACTGAAATCCTTTCTGAACCTAAAAGAGGTTGGGAAATTGAGGGTGGTGCCAGTAATACCCCGACCTCTGCAATGATTTTTGATTGCATCGTTCACATCGTCGATGAAGATGGTGATGTAATTCCATTCCTGATGGATTCTCGCCGTCTTCTTAAAGTTTAATCGGGCAGGTGATGTATGAGACCAATAGCTATTAAGCGTGCTATAGAGCGTGCTTTCGGCGCTAAATTGGTCCCGTTTATCAAAGGTAGTCCGGGCATTGGTAAATCTGCGATTATTCGTCAGATAGCCAAAGAGTTTAAGTTGCTGGTTATTGACCTACGCTTAGGTCAGTGTGACCCAACTGACTTGCTCGGATTTCCTAATATTGAAAACGGGCGTTCGGTTTATCACCCACCAAAAGATATCCCCATTGTAGGGGATAAAGTACCTGAAGGTTATAACGGCTGGCTGCTGTTCCTCGATGAGATGAATACAGCGCCAAAAGCTGTTCAAGCTGCTGCATATAAGTTATTGGATGGAATGGTTGGTCAAACCAAGCTTCATCCTGACGTATATATTGCAGCAGCGGGTAACAAAGATACTGATGGAGCTATCACCACTACAATGAGTAGTGCGACTCTGTCACGTATCGTCAATTTGGAACTGGAAGCGAACTTCGATGATTGGAAAATCTGGGCATTGGATAATGCCATCGACCATCGCATCCTATCTTTCTTAATGTTTAAGGAAGAGTTATTCCATAAATTCAATCCACAGGACCTTAAAAATCCATTCCCATGTCCTCGTACTTGGGACTTTACTAGCCGTGTTTCTCATGGCTTGGAACTTACTATTGATAATGACTATGGCATTATCTCTGGGATAATCGGTCCGGGGGCTGCAAGAGAGTTCATTGAATACACTTCAATCTATGGAAAGATTAAGACTATCGATGAAATTCTTAAAGACCCAGAAGGCATTGAAATTGAGAACAGACCAGACATTAAGTACGCTTACGCTGGTTATGTCGCTTCTAAAATTGACCCTAAAAATGGTGCTCAGTTAATGAAGTTTATCAACAAGCTGCCGGTTGAATTTCAAATTATCACTTTAAGTGATGCTGTCAAAGCACGGCCTGCCATTGTTCAAGTTCCTGAAGTTCAGGATTGGGTAATGAAATACGCTAACGAATCTGGTGCAGGTATGCTCTAAGGAGAACCTGCATGGATAAAGATAAAGCGTTAGATTTAGCAAAAGTAGATTTGTTCTCGGTAAGAAAGAATACTTTCATCTGTTCTATGTTCTGCTCGCTTCAGCTGAACTGGAATGATGATGTACCCACAGCTTGTACCGATGGGTTGAGTATAGAAATAAATCCAAAGTTCTTTATGGATTTATCCAGGCCGATGAGGGTGACGCTTCTCGCCCATGAAACCTGGCATGTTGTGTTAAAGCACATGTCGAGACTATCGGGAAGAAATCCAACTATCTGGAACTACGCCTGCGACTACTACATAAATAATATGTTGGATGACGCTGGCTATGCGATGGATTGTGGATTGATGGACCACAAATACGATGGTATGAGTGCTCCACAAATCTACGACTTGCTAATCAATAACCCACCACCAATGCCATCTGGTGGATTTGGTTTGGATATTAAGAAGAACCAAGGTCTATCAGATGAACAGGTCAATACCCAGATTGACTCTATGCTTATCCGAAGCAGTATTGCTGCGTCTCAACGTGGTCAGTACGGCGATATCCCCGGAGACATACGAGCCTATTTGGAGGATTTACTAAATCCAAAACTACCGTGGAATGACATTCTCAGAAACTTTGTTAATGAGATGACTCGAAACGATTATTCGTGGAAGAAGGTCAATAGACGTTTTCTTCCAGATATCTATCTTCCTTCATTAAATTCTGAAGGGCTGGAGCATATCATTTTTTATACTGATATCTCTGGTTCAGTTACTGATGCACAGTTCACTGTGTACATCAGTGAAATTCATGCCATTAAAAAACAGCTTAATCCAAAAAGGATTACTGTCTGTACCTTCGATACGAAGATTCATAATGTGTATGAATTAGAAGAGGGAGACGATATCAGTCAATGTGAATTCACTGGTAGAGGTGGTACCTCATTAGGTTGCGTGTCTGACCACGCAGCTAAAGAGAAACCCGAACTGATAGTTGTCTTCTCTGATTTAGACTGTCGTCAAATGGAGAAAGCACCTGTACCTAATGTTATTTGGGTTTGCCTCGATAACCCAAGAGCAGAAGTTAAGTTCGGACAACTGATTCACGTAAACAGTTAATATACGTGGCGGGTAATCTTTTTAAGTTTACCTTTTAGATGTTTTTGCCCTCCTCGTGAGGGCAGTTTTTTTTGGAGGTCATATGGGTCTTTACCTGTATTGCCAAAATACCGAATGCGGTTCTTATGTTGACGGTATGGACTGTCAGTTATGTGGATGGAAACAACCACCACCTGAACCAGAATTCGAATTGCCAGAGGATTTAAAGCAGGCTATTCAAGATGCTTTAGATTATGTCGGTCATGACTGTCGATTAGACCATCATGGCTTATGCCAAGAGCATGGACTTCAAGAAGGAGACTCCTGCTTCGCAGGCGTATTCAGAAAATACTTGGAGTAAACCATGTTTCTAGAAAAGGCTAAGCTGCTGGCGAGAGAGCAAGCTCTCAAAGATTATAAGCATAAGCTTATAGTAGGAATCCCTGATAAATCTGTTCCTCAGTATAACTACAAATGCCATATCAACGCTGCCCAAGCCGTGAAGTCTGGGTTAGCTGTTGGCGTTATTGAGACAGTTATTATCTATTCAGATATGTGTATAGCTCACTACGTGAGTCTCATGGCTGATGGAACCATTGTGGATTTCACATTGGGTATTGAGATTCTGGATAGAGATGTACGTTTAGTTCGTTATGTTCATCCTGATGAATACAACAATATGAACGACACTCTCTGGAATCTTAAAAAACATCTGTGCAGAAACCTGCCTTGGTATATCCGAGTTAACGACAAAAGTCTTAGGGAAATCTGCTAATGAAAGAGCAAGAGCAACTCAGGAAAGATATTTCCCGTATCTTTTCTATCTTTAAAGCCAGTGAATGTCAGTTGAGACCTCACTTCATTCTGACTGGCGAAAGTGGTACTGGAAAAACCTTTTTAATTAAGTCTCTGGCTGACCAGCATAAGATGGACTACATCGAAATTAATGCTGCTCAGCTAACCAAAGAAGGCTTATCGGGTAATAGCTTAAGCAAAGCTTTAGCTCCTTTACGTCAAGCCAATGGTAATCCTGTTATTTGCTTTGTAGATGAATTCGACAAGTTATTCATCGCAGGCAATAACAATAGTGAGTTGGCCCATGAATCTACCAATGGAGTTCAGAATGAATTCCTGAAGGTTCTGGAAGCTGAGTGTACCTCAGTGTTTGGCGACTATGGCAAGTATGTGGACGTACCTGTAAGTAACGTTCTGTTTGTCTTTGCCGGAGCATTCAATGGAGAGCCAGATATTACTCTGGATAAGCTCCGTAGCTTTGGTGTGAAGACTGAGTTCTTAGGCCGTGTTGGTTTGGTATACAACACTGTCAAAGTCAGTCTGGAGTCTTTAATTAATATACTTAAAGGCTCATCTACTCTCTCAATGTATCTGGATTTATTCCCAGAAGTTAAGAGAGATAAAGCTGTCTCTGATATCTCAGCATTTATCAAAGATAATTATGAGATGAATACGTTAGGTATTCGTATGGTTAATACGTTAATTACTCAGTATTTCATTCAGGACGGTAAGCTTTCCCGAGATGAAGTCAAATCCAGTACTTTCCAAAACAAACTTAAGTTTGGTGAGTAACGTGTCCAAATCTCCTATTGCTTGGGATGTATTTCGCATTCCCAGCACTCTTATTATTCGAACCAAGAAAACACATGTAGCTCAGATTGCTCGCAATCAAGGCTACAGAGTGATTCCTGTGTTCGGTAAAGGGTAGAGCGCCTCCGGCGCTTGCCTCGGAAAAAGAAAGAGAAATTAATTCTCTTCATTCAAACAATGTAATTTTACCCCAATCTGAAAAGGTAAATCGAAATGGCTAAAACTCTTCAACAAGACGAAAAAGAAGTTCACGTAGCAGAAGTCGTGCGTCACGGCGAAAAAATCATTCTGCCTGAGCAGATAAAGCTGGGTGATGCTATCGACCTGCTGAAGCGTCGTCAGAAGTACGACGAAGAAGAAGTTGTTGTGCGCCGTACTTACAACGTATTCCCGTGGGATGGTGCTCATGCACTGATGAACGCGCTGACCGAACGTTACGGTTGGGCTGCTGCTGAAGCAACTCCGGGCTTCTTTGGTTCTAACCCACCGCAGATGCTGGACGTACAAGTCGGCTACGGTCGTACCAAAAAAGTACCGTGGGGCCGCTTCTCTCTGCCGCAGGTTGAAGGCTTTGTTCAGACCTCTGTCGCCAAGAAAGATGGCCGTATCAGCTTTGAGCTGGTAGCCAAAGTACTGCGCGCTGACGAGCGTACCATCGAACTGCTGTTCGATACCGTGGAAGAAAAGCTGCGCACTGAATCCATCTATATGGGTCAGGCGATTAAGATTCGCTTCCGCGACAATGACGGCGACCTGCTGGAAATGCCGGAACCAGAATTCATGAACCTGCAAGGTATCTCTCGTGATTCTCTGGTTTATTCCGACGATGTTAACCAGCTGATTGAAACCAACCTGTTCACGCCGATTGAGCGCGTCGAAGACTGTATCGCCAACCACATGCCGGTTAAACGCGGCGTTCTGCTGGGCGGGCCATACGGTACTGGTAAAACTATGGCTGCGACTGTTGCTGCGTCTATCGCGGTTAAAACTGGCGTTACCTACGTTTACGTGCCGCGTTCTGACGAGCTGTCTGATGCGATTCAGTTCGCTAAGCAGTACAGCGATAAAGCGTGCGTTATCTTCTGTGAAGATATCGACCGTGCTGTATCCGGTGAACGTAGCGTGAAGATGGACGATATCCTGAACATTCTGGATGGTATCGACACCAAATCTTCTCGCATCATCACCGTTCTGACTACCAACCACCTCGAAAACATCAACCCGGCAATGCTGCGTCCGGGCCGTCTGGATGCCATCATCGATGTGACTCCGCCAGATGCGAAAGCAGTTGAAAAACTGGTTCGTCTGTATGGTCGTGACACCATCGATACGTCCGAAGACCTGACCCTGGTTGGCGAAGCGCTGGCTGGTACCATTCCGGCAGTTATTGCTGAAGTGGTTAAACGTGCCAAGCTGCACCAGCTCCAGTATCAGGAGCCGGGTACTGTTATCGAGCAAATCAGCGGTAAAGCACTGCTGGATTCCGCTCTGACCATTCAGGCTCAGCGTAAACTGCTCGAAGAGCAGAGCAAGCCGAAAGTGAAAGAGCCGACCTTTAATGAAGTTATCGCAAGCGCAGTTGCTCCGGCAATTGAAGCGGCGGTCAGCAAAGTTACCGGTCAGGTAGCAGAAATGCACGAACGCATCGTAGATTAATCTATCGGTGCAGTAGCGCTCGGATACGCCTCCTATGGGGGCGTATTCTAGTTACTACTGGAGGTCGTATGCAAAATCTCTATATGAAGATTGATGGTAGCCAATATAAACGAATCTTCGTTGTCGGAGATTTGCATGGCTGCCTCACTGAATTACAACAACAGTTATGGGCTAACCAGTTTGATACTCAAACTGACTTACTCATTTCTGTCGGTGATTTAATTGACCGTGGTTCTGATAGTTTAGGATGCTTACGTCTAATCAATGAACCTTGGTTTAAAGCTGTATTGGGTAACCATGAAGTTATGGCACTCAATGCATTGGCTTCTGAACCAAATACTCATGAAGGTGATTTGGCTTACATGAACTGGTTCCATAATGGTGGTACATGGTTAATGTACGTACCAGAAGAACAGAAGTCAGAAGTGCTCGAACTCTTTACTCAGGTAGCTGACCTACCGGGTATCATTGAAGTCTCAGTGGATGACAAAACTATTGTTATCTGCCATGCAGACTACCCTTCAAACCAGTACGAGTTTGGTAAAGACGTTGACGTAGAAGCTCTGCTTTGGAATCGTGAACGTATAGTTAAAAACCAAAACTCAAGAGGTACTGTCATTAAAGGTGCTGACGAATTCTATTTCGGGCACACACCTGCCAAAGACCCTGTGCAATACCATAACCAAAACTATATCGACACTGGAGCAGTGTTCGAGAAGGGGCGGTTAACAATGGTACAAATCAAGTAACTGCCTCCGGCAGTTGCTTTGGTTACTTCACATCTGCATAGGTGCTCAAATGAAAATCGTGAAATTTGGTGTTATTAATTTTAGTCCTGCTGGTAAACCTAAACCTGAACACTTTCAGGTAGAGTTTGAATCAGCTGAGGAACAAAAGCTGTACGAAACAGACCGTAGATATTTCATCTCAATGTTAATGGCAGCTATTTCTAAGCACATGAACATTGAATCAATGAATTGCGCAAGTATCGTTGATAGGCTCGTTGAGAATAATTCTGGAGCGTTTACTCAACCGGGTAAGGGGTACGACAAGTCTCCTGAACAAATCGTCGTAGAATCGCTTCTACGTGCCTCTATGAAGCATGAATAACATCATCATGACTTTCATCTTGGGCATTCTTTGGATACTGGACCTCTACTTAAAATACTAGGGGGAATATGTCAGAGGAATCTCCAAACAAATCATATCGTGGAAACATGATGTGTATTCGGTTCAATTATGATTTTAACATCATTTTGCCCATTGAAGACGGTAAAGCCTTACTTGAGCTATTGAGTAGGGCTGAACTGTATATCGATGCATATAAGGAACCTGAACGAGTTGAACCAATGGATAAAGATATCCAGGTTAAGTTCATTGCCAGAACCAAGTATGAATTACTTAAGTTAGCTTTCATGAGGCACGAAGATGGCAAATCTGACTAGTTGTCAGGACTCTGCTGCAAAGCAGTTTATGTCTTTTCTGTGTACTCCAGCAAAGCATATGGTTATCTCTGGTCCGCCCGGAGTAGGCAAGACGTATATGCTCAATCACATGATTGAGATGCTTCCAAGCAGTCATCGTATTGCAACCATATTAGGTGCTGAACCTCTCAACAATGTTGTTGTATCAGCTACAACTAATAAAGCTGCTGAAGTACTTCAGGAAAGATTTCAAACCACAGTAAAAACTATACATTCTGCTTTAGGTTTAATGGTCAGAGATGACTATAGAACTGGTGAGACAATCACCACTAAAGGTAAGAATTTTCAACCACTGTCAGATACGCTAGTCCTACTGGACGAAGCATCAATGGCAGATACTCCATTACTGAACCTGATTGAAGAAGGTACTCGTAGAAACTGTAAGATAGTTTTTATCGGTGACCATTGTCAGTTAGCGCCAGTGTCAGAGCAGATTAGTCCTGTATTCAATTCAGGCTATCTCACTTCATACCTTAATACCCAAATGAGGACTAATAATAGTCCAGAGTTAACTCTACTTAATGCTCAGTTACGTGAGACAGTAGAGACGGGTGTCTTCAGACCAATAATTCCAGTTCCCGGAGTCATAGACTTCTTAGGGGACGATGCAATGAGAGGCGCAATGCAAGCTCATTTCATCCAACAGGAATCTCCCGGTCATAAAATCCTCGCATTTACCAATAATACCGTTCAAGGCTACAACCAATACATAAGAACCAAGAAGAACTTACCTCTTATAGTTCAAGTTGGTGACAATGTTGTCTCTAACAACAGTATCGAGTGTGGTTCTAAACGCACTGTTATTGAAAAAAACTATGCTGTTTATTACGTAAGTGAAGTCAAATACGATGATGTAGTACCTTACTATTTCGTTGATATTGGTATTGGTACTTATGTACGTCAGCCAGTAGATTACAGTGAACTTCAGAAATTCATTAAGTTAGCTGCTGACAGAAAAGATTGGGTTGAGTACTTCAGGCTGAAGAATGGATTCGCAGACCTGCGATTTTCATATGCTTCAACTGTACATAAATCTCAAGGTTCTACCTACCACACTGTCTATATAGACATTGGTGATTTATGTGTCTGTAAGGACATAAGCCAATTAGCTCGCTTGCTGTATGTTGCAGTTAGTAGAGCTACTACAAGAGTAGTCTTTTATGGTAATCCTCCTCGATTCATGAGGTGATTATGATAGATAAAAGTGCCTATGTTAAATCCAAATTCAAAATGGAATTACTGGATTGGATTTGTAATAAAATCACTGACCCCTTCTATTCATTCGTATTAGAAGAGGAACATAAGCTATGTATGGCTAACGACTCTCCTCAAGGATTCATGGTGGATAACATGATTTTTAAAGAGGGTTCAGACAACTTAGCTTTTGGTTGTAAACCAGAGTTACTCGAAAGAGCCAAAGAAGTTTGGTTACTCAAACTCAAAGTGAAAGAAGACTGGAACAGGATTGAAGGATACTTCAGAAGAATCATTGCTCGTATGGATGCGGTAGGACAGTTGTATTGTTATGTCCCACAATTCATGCATAAGGCTTTAGATGAAGCATTTATCGATGTAAGGAATAAATCTCCCATACCGGGAATTCATCCTGACCCAGAAATCTACAAACTCATTTCATTCTATGTAATGTCTCGATTGGTGATTTGATGAGATACGCATTTGTCATATCAAAACTCATAGCTGTTGAATACACCCTCTTGAGGGATGGACTTCCTACACAGCTACTTGAGTCAAGATACACAGATGTAGGTGTGTCCAGAACTTACTTTCTTGAAGTGCCCGCCATCACAGATGAGCTGTTTGACTTCATGGCTGAGCTGCAAA